TCCGTTTATTTCTTTTGCGATGGAATGCAACGATAAGGAGTTTCTTAAGTGAGAAAATACGCGATGTCGGTTGTAATGTCTTTACGAAAAGCCTATAAACGATTTAGCGGTAATGGAAGAGGACATAGTATATGCCCAGGGGCATGGTTGGTGTGAGCGACCGAAATAATAGGGCAATTGTTATGCCACAGCACGGTAGGCAGAGGATCAGAATACGACGTTCTCGATAAGACACGACCCTGGGCATATTTAACGAACTTACACTTTTATGACCGCCGGACGTCTACCTTCCAGGATCCCTCTACGATCGATTCAAGATCTTTCTTATCGAGAATTTTTCACGATCGCGAATTTTTCCACAATTGCGAATAAATAAACACCGAAACTTCATAATTTATTATCTTTAATAGAAATCAAAATTTTTATTCCTTTGTTTATCGTACATATACACACATATATATATATATATATATATATATATATATATATATATATATATATATTAGGAGGACAGGAAAGTAATGTCGCTTTCTTAAATTAAATTCAAACGAATAAATTTTTAACAAATTTTTATTTTTAATCACAATCAAATATTGACATGCGCAGAAACGACATTACTTTCCGGTCCCTCTAAAATATATATATATATATATATATATATATATATTAGTATTATATTGTACTGTAATTAGATGATAAATTTCACACGTTCTAGTAATATAAATAATTTTCTTAAGCTTCCTTTAATTATGAGATTTAATACAGGACGGGTCAAAAGTTCTTAAACTTTTGTAGTTTTATAATTTGAAATAAAAAAAGTCCCGACGAAGAGTAATCGATTATTAAAATGGCCCAGAAACTTTTTGATCCAATCTTTCAGTTAAAAACTTTGTTACATTTGTTTCTTAAATAATATCACACCCTTTATAAAATGAATATTAAATTTAGGATATATCGATTTGTTTTAGTATGTTAAGATTAATTGTGTTGAGAAGATAAAAAAAAAAAAAAGAAAAAGAAAAAAAAAAGAAAAAAAAGAAAAAAAAGAAGGAAAAGAAAAAAAGGAAAAAGAAAAACGTATATTTCCTCTCCCTGATAAAATGAACGGTATTTGTATGCGTGCATAAGATACCTACGTTCACATATCGTGTATTATTTGATTATATAAATTCACAAAGGATTACGTAACACGGGTGTATATAATAGATTCAACACAGCTGGTCTAGGTTTTCTCGTCTCAACATCTCAAAATTACACTGTAGATTTTCATAACGTTCTGTAATTCCGACGGGTGGTCTTAAACTTTCCAACGGCAGCTTGCGTTACTGTGGTTGAGATGAGAAAATGAGAGAGAGAGAGAGCGAGAGAGAGAGAGAGAGCGAGCGAGAGAGAGAGAAAGAGAGAGCGAGAGCAAGAGAGAAAGCGAGAGAGAGAGAAAGAAAGAATGAGAGAGATAGGTAAAGCGACAAAGATAGAATTTGCGATCTTAATTTGTTTTTAGATCGGTCAACTTTGACAAATTGTTTGTAAAATTTATTATCGCTGTAGAATAAATTTCTAATTTCGTTATTACATTTTTAAATTGCATGTGGATTATTTGAAAAGAAGAAGAAAAAAAAAAGAAGAAGGAGAAAAAAAAAGAACGGAGTTTCGAAAAAGAAAAGAAAGTCATTTTCGAATAAGCAAATCTTGAAAGGTCGGTGAAGAGATCCTTTCGAAACGCAAAGCAGAAACGAAATTCGGTACGGAAGATAAAAGGACGTGGTCGCTTTACGCTAGACATCCGTCGAGACCACGTTTGAAAGAACGACAGGATTACGTTTCCTTCAATTTCCTCTTTTGAGGATGAAAGGAGACACTCGACGGTGCGTGCATAGTCTCTCTATACTTTGTCCTATTATACGAATCGGAGATAAAAAGTCTCTAGAGCAACTTTAATAAGTTTAATTCGCGATATTAATGTCACAATAAAAAATTAATATATTATATGGAAAATATTTATCTAATATTAGATATAAAATTGAATAATAACTTTTTTAATTCGAATCAATATCTTTATTTCACAAGACATTTTACCTTAATAAGAATCGATAATTATGAGAGCGATGTTTAGATTTTTCGATAAAGTATTAGTTAATTGATATTTAATTATTATTATTATTATTATTACTATTATTATTTTCTTTTTTTTTTTAATGTTTCAATTCCCTGTAATTCATTTGATTTTTGTGTTCAGTATAATTATACTGCAGTAATTATTATAATTTAAAAGACATTAAGAAAACTTCGGATATGGAGTAATTTATTTAGGTGCGATAAAATGTGAAATAAAATTTTTCAAATGCAGATATAATATATAAGTTTATGAATTTAAAGTTACATATCCATTATAGAAGGTTAACTTTAATATTATAATTATTATTGAAATGTTATAAGAGACTTTAACCCTTAATATCATTTCGGATTATATAAAATGAAGATTTTCTTGTTACACATTTAACATAAATTTGTATAATATTGGAACGTATGTGTAATAAAAGGCAAAAGTAAAAGTAAAAGTAAAAGAAGAGAAAAATTGTCGATTCGAATGGAATTAATTAGAACTGGAATCTGATCACGAAGAGGATCGAACGTGCGTGGATGAGAGGTGGGGAGGTGGAAACGCGATTACAATTCCAGAATACCGAGCGAGTCAAGCCTCAGCACGTTCGGCTTCACCCCCCTCGGAGGTATCGCGATTACGAGTCTGTACGGGCCATTAGCTCGCCGTTTGAAATTCGTAAACGTATTGCGGATTCTCTGACTTCCGGTAAGGGTCCATATTGCTATTCGATGGATTCCTCACGATGCTTTCCTCTCACCGTTTTGAATACACTTGAATCATGCCACTTGAACGCTTCTGAGAGATTCAATTGTGATCTACAATTATCACGTACACCTCTTAATAGTATTCAAAAATTAAACGAATGAAATAATTTAAATTTTTAATTATACATATTAAATTGAAATATTGAAATAACTGCAAATCAAAAATATAGGCAACATTTTGTATTAGAGATAATTACGAGCTTTATGAGAAATTTTTTTTTCGAATTCTCTTGTACGTATGTTACTTTTTAATGTATTCTTGTACGAATGAGTAGCATATATGATATATATATATATATATATATATATGTATATATGATATATATATATATCATATATGTATATATGATATATATATATATATATATATATATATATATATATGATATATATATATATATAAGGAGTTATAAAAGATTTATATAGAAATGTATGAATTTTTTACATTATATTCAGGCACAAAAGTAATAATGATATTGAAGGAAACGATGGTATAATTATTATTTGTTTGTCAGAAGGAATATTTGCTTTAATAATTGTTTGAAATTGTTATAATTCGAAGCTTGCGATCCCTTTGTCGGCTAACGTCCAGACCCTTTCTTCCAAGTTCATAAACGGATTGCGGATTCTCTCGGCAAACTGCAAGAACGTTCCTAAGGTTACTTGATTGCATGGATTCTCTTCGTTAAATTCGCACCGATAAATGTGGTTTACGTTCTATAAGTATGATTCCTTCGGTACTCATCGAAGATATTCGAAGCATTCGTCGATGTCGAGAACTCGATGATATTTCGATATGAGATCGATTCGATATCGAGGGACATTTATACCAATCGAATACAAGTTACTGAGCTTGGTGAGAAGAATTTCGTAGATATTAAATATTTGGTAGATATTAAATAATAGGAAATATCGACGAAACGAATGAGATTGGTTTTAAAATAAAAAATAAAAAAAAAAGAGAGACAAAGAGAGAGAGAGAGAGAGAGAGAGAGAGAGAGAGAGATAGAAAGAAAAAGAAGGGAAAAAGAAAAAAAGAGAAATTATTCTAAAGTTATTAAGGTAATAACTCTAAAGATTAACAAGTCGTTTTACTCGTGT